TTTTTTTTTTTTTTTTTTTTTTTTTTTGACGGTGGAGAAATGCATTTACGCATACCCGACCCGTCCAAACCCCTTGCGGGTGGGGAGGGGTCGGGTTATGTGGGACTCCCGCGGCCGACCTAGATATGCCGACCGCGTCCTACCCACTAAAACTCCACCGGACGTCCTATCCGTGCTCATTAGTGGGAGCTTCCCAGGAACGCCAGCAGGCACAACTTCTGGAAAACGTAACACTTTGTTCCAATTGATTAAGTTCCAATCTTCAATCGTCAATCATCTATCGCCAATCGTTAGTGTAATTTGGGCTTAAGACCCAGAGCCAGTCGAATATGCTATTAGTTTCAAAGTTTCCACTATGGCTCCTGCACACAGGGCGCTTGCCTGCACAAGTAATGCTTGCCGCGCGGCGGAAGTTCGTGCGACAGCCAATCAATATGCTGCTTTCCGTAATAACCTTCTAGCTCTTATGGAAAAACAACATATTGATTGGCTGTCGCGTGGACTTCCGCCGCGCGGTAAGCATTACCGCGTTCTGTGTGCAGGATCCATTACACGCTATTTCCCTGAACGAGAAATTGAGATCGTGGTGCGACTAAACAACATATCGGACGTCTCTTCGCTTTATAAAGGCCAATTTATGATGGCCATAACCATTAATTTATGCTGTAATCCATAACAAATTGACCAATCGCAGTTAACTTTTCTTGTAATAATCGACTGCAATTGGTCAATTTTTTATCGATTACAGCATAAGTTAACGGCCATGGACGTAGTATACATGGACCCCGCATACGGCCAGAAAAGTGAACCCAACATGTAGAAAGAGACCATAGACATAATATACATATTGTCTGTTCTTTTCGGCTGTACTGCTGAACTAGTGCAATAAATTAGAGTAAGAAAAAATATACTTGTCTCACTCTAACTTATTGCACCAGTTCAGGGTAGCGATCATGAATCTTTTACGTAAACTTCATTTTCATTTTTCACTTTTCACTGTAAGTTATTTCACATAAAAAGTGAACAATGAAAATGTGGAAAGCAATATTTATGTAATATATATTATTATAATTAAAATATAATTATAGTATAAAAATGTAATATATAACACATTAATAAGCATTATACAACTTAAATTTATAGTTATAATATAATATAACACATTAATAAGCACTATACAACTTAAATTTATAGTTATAATATAATATAATAATATAATATGAGTAAATTTAATAAATGAGACGAACGTTAACCGTGAAAGGTGAATTCTCAAATCGTGAAATATTTCACGTGAACTTTCAGTTTGCTCGTATATGTTCTTCTTTACATGTAAATTGTGTAAATTTCCATGAAAATTTTTAAGCATCAAGCGATGTGGTTTAAATGTGAAAAATAATATCATACTACACTTGCATATTATGTACAAAGTGAGTAGAATTTCTTATAGTAACTTTAATTTTTATGGTTATACGACAATTGGAATTTGACATAAGAATCCTACGTCCATTAAAAATGAACAACGAAAGCCAATTGAAACGTGATGACGTATAGGCAGTGAAAGCATACCAACGAAGTTTGCAAAGTTAAGATACGTATGCATCAGAAAGTTAAAGTGTAATATATTATAAATTGTATGCAGTAAGTAAAATATAAGTTTATTTTATGTATTTATTGCATGTATTTTATGTATTATTTTATATGAAATATATATTTTCTGCAGATTTATAATTTTAATATGAATAGAATATTTTAATTTTTAATAATTTATCCTAAGACAAGCAGACCTCCAAGGGACGTTCTAAAGACATCACTATGTCTTAAAAACATGCTAAAAAAATTCTAAAGATGTCCATTGCAAATTGGTGTTGTCTTGAGTATATTGTAATATTTGTTTTACTTACAAATTCACATTAATTCTTTCATTTTTCACGAGTTTAGTGAAGATTTTCATCTTTCACGAGTTCATTACAATATTTTCACTTTTCACGAGTTCACACTAGGGTAAAAGATTCATGATCGCTACCCAGCAGTGCAGCCGAAAAGAACAGACTACTTGACTCCGCATACAGACAGAAAAGAGAAGCCAATATGTACAGCCCTTCTGTTCTTTATCTCTTTCTGCACAGACAAAGTGTGCAATAAGATTTAAGTAAAACGTTTACTTGCCAGTCTAAGGGTGCGGTTGCGCTCTATATTATGGAAACAAGAAATGGATACACATGCGACAAAAAAGTGACAAAATAAGAAGAAAACTATAGCCCCCCTATTCTTGCTCTGCTTTCTAAGGCCGGTATTCATAGTCCGATCTTATATTTAAGATCATCTTAAGTACTGTCTTAAGATGTCATGAATCAATCACAGAGCCATATTCGCATCTTAAGACATTACTTAAGACGGTCTTGAAATAAGGGGAGCGTCCCAGATGCGCACATTGACAAACGGACACAGCCAACCATAACGCCGTATGTTTAGAGATATTCTAGAGACTATAAACAACAACATATGATTGGATGTGTCCGTTTGTCAATGTGCGTATCTGGGACTCACTCGAAATAAGATTCGACTATGAATATCGGCCTATATGTTGGCTTCACTCTATTAGGCGACAGAACATAGGGCATTCGGAGTTCATATATACTATGACTAAGTTTACACGGCAACTTGAAATTAGTTTAGTAACTACCGTAGTTAGTGAACTCTTGAATCCGATTGGAGTATATTTCCAGATTTAAAAGAATATACCAATCGGATGCGAGAGTTTACTAACTACGGTAGTTACTAAACCGGTTTTAAGCTGCCATGTAAACTTATAACATGTTCGACTGTTTCTGGGTTATTCAGCCTACGTTTATTGGTCGAACAAGTACTTATAAGCTTTATGATTGGCTAGTAGAGACTTATGACGTCATTAATCGCTCTCGGAGCGATTAACCCAAGGCCAGTCAAACACGCTATAAGTTTACACGGCAGCTTAAAACCGGTAGTAGTTACCAAACCGGTTTTAAAGCTGGCCACACACTTTCCGTAACAGTAACCGTAAGACGTAACATAAGAATTGACCAATCATGTTGAGAATCAACGAATCGTAAGTCGCCATTTTTATGAATACTCGATCGTAATTGGTCAATTCTTATGTACGTCTTACGGTTACTGTTACGAAAAGTGTGTGTGGCTAGCTTAAGTTGCCGTGTAAACTTCGTCTTTGTTGCTTATGGATGTTAAACAAAGATAGAATGACGCCCGCGAGCGTTGCGAGCGTGCAACGGAATGTGCTCAAAGTAGTATTAGGGTGCTATTTCACGTGTCGTACGACAAGCTTTTCGGATACGTTTATTGGTTGGCGAATAGAGTATTTCTAGGTTTTCTGTTCGTCAACCAATGAACGTACCCAAAAAGCTTGTCGTACGACACGTGAAATGTCAGACTTAAGGGACGTCTACATTGGAAGTAAATAGTAAGAAGTAGGAAGTAAGAGTAAGAAATTGACCAACCACAGTCGAATGTGAGAAGAATAATTAACTATGGTCAATTTCTTATTCTTACTGTTTACTTCCAATGTAGACGTCCCTTTAGACGACAGGGCTCCTATTCTTGAAATTTTTGCGTAATAATTTTATATAATAACATAATTTTATATAATAACATAATTTTCATTGCGTAGTTATTTTATAATATGATTAAATCTGCGCAGTAAAACTTACTTATACGCAACTATTTCAAGAATAGGGGCCCAGACATGTTAGACGACCTTAATTCATAAAAAAAAAAGCTTTTGAGAATTGACCGACACGGAAACGAATTTTATCGTTCGTTTGAATAAAAGTGTTAAATTCTACGAAAAACATTTATTTTTATATTTGTATAATGAATTTTACAATTCTATATGTGAAGTTTTTATGTAGCAAATGTTCTACATATTCCAATATTAGAATACATTATTTTATAAAACATGACAAAAAAGCCTTTGTGTAGTATAAAAGTTGTAGTATTGTTAACAATTTTTAGGTTTGTTACATTGTTATTATTTCTTTTTGGATTTATATAGGTAAATATTTCAAATTATGTTAAATACTTTTAAAATCTGTTAAAATCAAGGATATTTTAATTATTTATGTGGAAACTCTACACCTCAAGTATATCATTGTAGAACACATTGGTTATACAGATAAACTATTTTATTTCCATACACACACATACATACATACATACATCATACATACATACATACATACATACATACATACATACATACATACATACATACATACATACATACATACATATATATATATTTGCAATGTATATATAACAAGAAAACTATATCAGGAAAGCATGATGAAATAAATATCTGTACATGATGTAATAAATATTTAATTTATTTTAATTCTGTTCCTCTAATTACACATTTACAATTTACATTTCTTTTAATTCAAATTCTAATAAGATATTTACTACCTTTCACTATCCTCAGTGAGAATCTCGTTAATATTTGTTTCATTTAGTTGATGCGTGTTACTGGTTCGATTATGTGCTTCTTTTTGTATGTGATAATATTGATGTTCTAATTGCATACTTCGTAATTGATTAAGTTTTCTCACCTTCATAGAGTGCATCATAAAAAAGAGTTGAAATAACCCAAGCCCAAAAAACAAAAGGGCAATAGCGAGTCCGATGGATGTGTTTGGTTTTTTTGTAGATGATGGTGGCCATATTCCTCCTGCTGTACGTACCTCATATTCCCACTGACTCTGATATTGACTCTTATATTGTCTGTAATAATATATTGCATTTTTTATCAATTGTATTTCTTATAGCTGAAAACAACAGAAAGTTTTTCTTAATTTGAATCTATTTTATTTCTACAAATTTAATTCTACAAATTTAATAATATATTGTGTATATATTGTGATATGAATTATTTAATATAATATTGTTAAAAAACATTCATCAAATAACTAATAATTAGTCTCTACTGATATACAGCCTATGTTCTAATACATTATATGATAATATCATAATATGATATCATCTTACCTATTTTGTGAGGGATTATACATATATGGATCGTATTTATACTTTAGATCTTCGTCATATTTACGTCTTGTACTTGCTTTCCCTAGTATTGAATAAGCTTCATTTAGTTTCACAAAATCAGTGTGACTGCATCTTCCACTAATATCTGGATGCAGCTGAATAAATAAAAACTCAGTTTATATGAAGATATTAAAAAACAGGAAATCTTCAAAATATATTATTCTTAGTAGATGTTTAATTAAAGATTTCTCTGGTTAGAAATAAACAATCTAAAACATTAATTTTGATACATATCAAGTGCTTACCTGCTTTGACAATTTGAGAAAGGCTCGCTTGATATCTTCTTGCGATGCACCAGATGAAACTTTTAAAGTCTCATAATGATTCTGTTGATACCTACAGAAAATTATGAGACAATAGACATATTGATAAAATTATATTATAAAAATTTTTATACTTCTCTCCTTTAACTGCATCATATTATTTTTTTCATTCAGAGTAAGATAAAATATGCACTGTGCTTTGGGAGAAAACACAAGAGAAAATTTACAAGAAAGTACATAAAGTGCAGCTAAAAGGAACAGTTTGACATATATTATCCGACAGTAATCATATGACGAGATTCAAACCTTTGATTGCTATAATTTTTAAGTATAGAGCAAATTGTCGGTTTGCCCGCTCGAAAAAGTTGCGTCATTGTTTATTGATGTTTTCTCCTAACGAATTTGTCATTTTTGTAAACTGGCACATTTTGCGTATCGGCTGTTTATATCACATAAACGTCGCCATTTTTTGCACTGTATAAAAATAGGTCGAGTTTTTTAATACATCGATGGATCCATCGCACGATGCGCAAATGCAACGTTTTATTTACGCATCATGCGATGGATCTATCGATGAATTAAAAAACTCGCCCATAATATTTCACAGCGCATTTAAACGTGGATTACCAATTATTTTAAGAGAAAACTCACAATTGTTTTATTTAAGATAATTTTTCACAATTTACTCCTTCAATTATACAGCTAAAAACTATAATAACAATTGAAACGGATCTTTTCCTAATCAATGTTCAATATTTAGTTGCATCGTCGTTGGTTACTATCGTAA